GATCACCACATTGCATCAAAAATAGCTACAATAGTGTCGGTACCCTTTTCATTTCTCAGATTGCACTGACTAAATTAGAAAGGGTCCACTGGCACCCCCAGGAAAATAAATAATTCACCCCATCACAGGCATGCATCATGTGCAGTGGCACAACTGAGAAATGTAGATGACAGATTACAGAAAAAAAACCCAAAAGCATCTCCTTACTTCCTTGAATAAAGATTAGCTAAATAATTTAAAACGGCGTAGTAAAACCAGATTTAATCTTAGAAATCAGTATGAGAACACATACTCACAAGAAATGAAAAATTAATATTTAATTGCATTAAAAGTCATAATATTACAGCTTAATGGAAGTCTTTGATGCAAGCTTTGCATGTTAGCTTTTGCAGACAGACTGGGATCATGAATCAAATAAAGTGGCTTCATTCATAAGGCCTTAAAATATTTGGGTGTTTTGACCATTTGGAATGAACGAGGGAATGCTGTGAATGAAATGGTATCTGTTATGGTTACTAGGAAACAAGAAGCTGCACATAAAACTCTGTTGCTGGTTATTACCAGCTAGTTACTGTTCCTTTGTTGACTTTATCAGCCTACTGCAACAGAGAACAGAGCTGCCTCTCTGCCTGGGCTGAGATAATCTCCATGGTAATTACATGTAATTGCCAGTGCACCATCACCCCAAACCATCCATGGTCTGGGTACTGTTTTCCCTTCCTACCTCTATGAACTAAGGACTCTTTTCCCCAAACAGGCCCATTCCAGCACAACAGGAAGTTTTTGTACCTATGAGGATGCCTTGAACTGCAGACCTTACCTGCCAAAGTATTTGAAAAAAAAGGTATTTTAAAGTGTACTTGTGAGGCACATATGAAGGACATAGAATACAAAACTGAGCAGAAACAGGCAGGCCTACCAAAGAACCAAAAGTGCTTCAATTTTGTCCCATTATGCAACATTCAGATGGCATAAGCTTCTCCCCACTCTGGCCAGCCTAATCCTGTGCCAGGCCAGAATTTCTTGCAAATAGTCCGTAGGAATTCCCTGTAATAGTACCTAAGTATTGGCAATAGGTTGTACTACAAAGACAACATTCTTCTAAAAATGCAACCCCCTTCCCAGGGCAGTTCAAAAGGCACATCTACCACCCAAATTTTTTTGTCCAATATATCTGGTGACAGGATATTCAGTTTAGGTTCCTCTTCCTGACATTGAAAGAGAATTTAAATTAAAATCACTGCCCATTCAAGCAAACTTTTAAAAAAAAGAGGTCTTAATGGAATAATATTATGTTAGTTTTTACTATGTTCTGATATGATAAAAAAATTTTAACTCACAGACATAACTATCTGTGATGCAAAGGATCTCCCACAATACATTTCTAACAACAACCTTTTCTTTTTCCGTCATTTTTAACACTTCCCCTTTTATTTTCAAAAGAGATGCTTCCAAACTCATTTGGTCACATTTTGACTTGCTGGCTGGGAGTGAACTAAAAGACAAAATAAAGGGAATATGAGAGAATATGATCAGAAGAAACCCTCTGTTGTACATGTGTAAGCACAGAAGAAAAAACTTTAAATGAAGAAGGTTAGGCCCAGTGTGCAGTATAGCTACAACTGAGCCCGATTCATGATTTGACTTTTTCATTTTTATATTTTGCCTATAAAGCAGAAACATGGCAGAAAAATCACCGAATGTGACTGATCAGAGGTAAAAGTAGTAGGCCACTCCCCTTCAAATAAAAGCAACTTTTTCACCTGGGGTGAAAAAGCTTTTTCACCAAGGGTTGAATTTGACATCCTACTGCTGCCTCATACAATGAGTAACAGCACCGCCAAGGTAAATAGTGAGAACTCAATGTTTATTTAGCCACTGCAGTTTTAAAACCCACAGTAAGTAAAGGGCAAACACAAAGATTTGACATATTAGGAATATGACAGGCCCTTTTACTGTTTGCCATCCAATGTAATTTCTTCACTACAGGCTTGCCAAACAAGAGCAAGCAGAGCCTGAAGATACTTCAGCACAGGGCACAAATCAGTTTTGCTGTTTGCTCTAGTACCCTTCACCAATGATATCATGAGTGAAGGCTGAGATGACATCCACAAATCACTTCAGTCTACTCCTTTACTTTGGTTCACTCAAAAACTATCCTTTATGCTGAAACTTCCAATAATCCCCTTACAACACCAAATTAATTTAAAACCGTATTTTTAGAGAGATGGGGAAGTAGAGGACTGGTTTGTTTGTGAGTACTATGGGGGCTTGGCTGTTTACAAATCTACTGGATGAATGTTCTAAATGTTAACCTTGTAAAAAGAGCTTCTCTTCATGATAGATGCCAGGCATTACATACCATACAGTCAGTTTAGAAACCACTCAAAAGGATGCCAGCAATACTGTGCAATATTTATGATCGTAAGAGAATGCTATCCAATTCTGAAATGCAGAGGAACAGGGCAAGCCAGGATACAGTTGACCACATTGGAAACTGGCCGAGACATTATGGTTCACAATCTCACCTTGTAAATGCTCTGTGGGCTCTTTAAACAACTACAAGTGTCTAGGAATTTGGGGTTAATCAAAAGAAAAAACAGTTCACACATACTAGTTACAGAACATATAACTGTATTGAGGGAGAATCCCACAAGTCTGGCTTGAAATAAGCCTCAACCCCAACAGAGGCATCTGAGAGAGGAAACAGCCTGGGCTCTGGAAAAGTCAGACCCAAATCATTCCAGAGGAAATGCTACCAAAGAAAGCTGGACAGTTAAAAACTGCCTACAAAGAAGCAGAAAGACTGTCAAACATAGTAAGGAAAACACAAGTTAAGAGCCCAGGAAAAACCAGGCACAAACTAGGGCCTGACTCTCTACTACTATGCCCTTTAGGTGGTGTGGACAGGAAAATCATGCAAAAGTCATGCTAACAAACCTTGAGTGTATACAGCTGTCAAGGAAAACACTTTTCTATCCATCTTGACTAACCCATACAACCACTCACTCATAAAGTCTTTTTCCCTTCTTTCAGGAAATTCACATCACTGGGGTTGGTCACGCAACATTTACAGCCCTGTTCACACAAACAGCACTCCTCTATAAGAGCCTCCCCAAAGATTAACACTACCTGCCTGAAGTCAACCAGTATATTATTTGTATGAACAAGAAATTACTCCTTCTCTACAATATTCATGTGGGAGAAGTGCATATCACAGGTCCTGGTAAAGTATTCCTGCGCTTAGGACCCACCAAACACCGTGATCCCTTCTTTTTCTAAGAACTACCAATCCATCATGTATGGAAGCTGCTCCAGCTGTTTGCTGCAGAGGGTGAAAAGCTGGTGAAAAAGAGGGTGAACAGTATACTTCTCATGCTGGGGAGGGAGGAGTATATATTCCCTTCCTTATCCTCATCTCCTTCATAGTCTGGATCTCATGAGGGAACTGCCCTGGAGCATAGACAGCACAATCCTATCAGTGTTTAACGATGTTGGTGACCTGTACATTTAGAATTTCACTACTTACACAGTGTTAGTATGTTACGTGTCTATCTAGAGGTGGATTGGTTCCTTTTTCAGGTCCAGCCTTCAAAATCAAACACCAGCATCCTTCATTTGTTATCATGTTCAATCCTTAGAAACGTTTGTTTCTTGGTTATGGGGAAGAAATAGGTAAACTGTGAGGAAAGAGGAACTTGGATAAATCCATGAAACTACTTAATGGGTTGGCTCTAGCCTAGGTCTGACTATGAGTAACTTACAGCCAGGAAAGTAGTATGGTCCCAGATGTGATGTCTCCCTTAATACTGCTGGTGATTCATACGTTTTTGTGTGTTCTCTATACTGGGAAGCAGCTGTGGCTCACAGCTGCAGTTCTTGCTGTGAGGGTAACACAGAAAATCTGGCTGATCCTGTGGCCTTCAAGTCTATAGATCATGATAAAATTACATGGTGGGAACATGCCAAAAACAGTAGGCTGCAATTAAAAGAAATATATAGCACACTTCACAAAAACTTCACAGTGCAAATTATTGTTCATAGATACACATTGCTACTTTACTGACCACTGGTATCATTCCCACCTTTTTGGCTCATAAGTATTTTGCAGTCATACACATCTACAGTATGCAGTTTTTACAGTCCTGTTGTTTTCTCAGGTTTTCTCTGAATATTGAAAATTTCATGCATGCATATAATGTAGCACACACTCAGATATATGTCACTACCGAAAAATATATCCCACTGAAGAACAATACTGCAAACAATCTTTTATACCAACTCTCCTACCTGTCTTTACAGAGACCATGAGAGCTGACATTTGGAGCTGCTCTGATTTCTGCAGCTTTTTTTATTTAGAAGATTTCATATGACATAGCAGTATCAGGTCCCTGTTTGACAGAGTATCAGGTTGACTCATATCAAGTTAAACTCTCCTTCAGGTTAAGAACAAAATACCCTGACATGTTGCCACAGAGTTAGAGTGGCAAATTCTGCGGATTACAAAACATCTGTTGAAAACCAGTTCTCTATCTAAGGCACAAGGGTTATGTTTCTATCCCTCATATTCTTTATCTTCCTCCTCTGCATATACTACACATTTCTCTGCAGTTTGGTCTCTGACATTGCAGATTCTGTTGCCCTTTCAAGCTATCCTAGCATCTTAAATTTACACAGTACTAGTATATACATTTGCGGATTTAACTGACTTTTCCAAAGTCTTACTTAGAAAATCAAATGAAAGGAAGGATAATTTCTTATAGTCAGAAGCTTTTAGGGAAATATTGTACATTCTGAGGCATTAAGGCTTTTGAGAGGAGGAAAGGCATCAGGCTTGTCATCTATGTCAGTGATCTCTATTTAAGACTGACAATTGCAATGCAATCTCTCATCTGTACAGGCCTTTTGTGAACTGACATGCGGCTCATTTGTCTAAATGATCAAATAAAGTACATTATGACTCAATCATTTGTAACTACCACAAAAATAAGAGCTCATACCTAAATTCATTTGCTGCAAGCAGATGGCTGATTGCTTTTCTGTCCTTTAATGCTGCAGTCCTGTTCCCTTAGATCCTCTCCACTAAGAGAGTGACATACCGGGAGGTCAGTTTTCCGACAAGGTCATCTGCCTTCAGAGTATGAAGAGAACTGCACGGAAAGTGGGTTGGGCTATATTTAGAGTTTGGTCCAACTCTGTGCCAAGGTCCCCCCCGCTGTCTCTCTCTTGCAGCACCGTCTCAGGTCTATTCTTGCAGATTCTCAGCCCACAGAACACACGAGGAGAGGAAAGTCACTCTGAGCTACTGCTGGATCGAGGTTTTTTGCAATTTGCTAAAAACAAATTGATCAGCAGCTCAGATGAGAACTTCTTAAATCCCTCATTCTTCTAGTATTTATTTTTCTTTATTTAAGTGGATTTTACCTTTTCAGTTGAATAAGGAGAGGAAACTGCCTGGGATACAGGAAAAAGGCTCTCCTGAGCTAAGGTAAGCTTGCTTCATTTTTTTTAATTGTCATTCTAATTACAGAGCAATTGATGACAACTTGGATCAGATATGCTTTTGCTGCTAGACCAGTTCTGCATGTCAGCAATAAGGTTATTTTTGGATAATGAAATTCTCCATTTCAAAATATCAATTTTCATTACCCCCGTCTAAGAAATGGGAAAATAAAAGGATACCAGCATGTGCAATAGAACATACATTATCTGATTTTACCTGTTTGAATCAATGTAAAAAGCACACAGCCATGCCACTAGACTGTATCATTCTGAAAATAAGAGAAAACCAGATGTGTGACTATATGCATGGTGATTACATTTATAGGCATTTAGATGTACTGAGTGATGTTTTATACACATTATTTTGTATAATATGACCAAGGATGGCATCAGGTTTGCATCAGGTTTGTCAGCTTGCTGCAAATAGCACAGATACAAGTAAAAAAAAATAAATTAATAAATGCTCGAATACCCTTACAGTTCCAAAGTTGCTGGGCTACAGAGTACATCAGGATTAAAGATCATATTGAATTTTGTCTCCTTTCCACTCTGTGCTACACAGTCATCCAGCATTGCTTCCTCTTTTAAAAGCACATATGGCTGAACACTTTCCCTCAGCACCAAACTCTTGTGATTCTTAAGGGGAAAAAAAACCTGGACAGAGCACATCATTGCATACTGTCTGTAAGGAGATCCTAACACACTTCAGGTCACATGGATGTCATGATACTGTGGTCTGGACTCCAGCACGACGAGGTTGTTATCATGTAAAGACACTCTGGAGCCATGGATTTAGCACTGGCACACACACTCACTTTCTAATGCAACATGACCTGAAGAAATAGGGTAGAAAGGTCCACTTGAGCCAAAGCTCCAAACACTGATGCAACAGCACCAAAACCTTCTTCACAACACAATCACTACATAGAAGTCTTAGCAGAAACATCTGAAAGAAAGGTATATGGGTTCCAGATTAATAGCAAAGACCAAGAGAGATCACCAAGTCACTGGTTAAGCCATGACAACTGGCTGAATCAACGTACTTATTTCAGGTTGTCTTTTCTTAATACAGCTGCTGATTAAACAATGCCATGCATCAGGCTGAAAAAGTAAAAGACTGCAAGTTGGCAAGAGTCTTACCTGCTGAAGAAACTTCTGCTTTTGGTTACTGTCAACTCTGTATAAGATCATCTCATGATGCTTTGCTTCTGAGTTTTGCTTAGAGCGTTAGGTTTATTTGAAGGATGTAATAAACAGCATCCAATTCACATAAAACACCTTCCTAGCAGTCCTAAGACTTTTTAACAAATGATAATTACAGTAGTATGCCATGGAGCCAACTCAGTCTGTGTGGCATGTGGTAATTCAGATTCATCCAGAAGGTTTATATTGCAAGAACTCAAAGAAGAGGCTGTTAGGGGAGGGTTACCAAAGCACTGCAAATGCATTCACCAAGTTCATCAGCAAGTAAAAGGCTTCATAGTGTAAAAGCAACTAGTGCAGTCTAAGATTGGCAACAACCTATGAAAAACAGTTGTTATACACTGATAGAAAAGAGTACAAATACATCTTTATTAATTTTTAAATGTTCAGGTTTTGCCTAAAGTTAATGCTTAATGAATCATTTTAGTTTTTGTGACACTTTGTGATACCTATTCTCCATCTGCATGTGGGAAAATATTACTCCTCTATCAATGTTAAAAACATCAGGGACATAGGATTGGCTTGAAAAATAAAGCAGGATAGATGTGGCTGAGCTTACTGACACAGCATTCACAAAGACCCCCCCGGCAGGTGGACAGGAGCATTGCTGCATCACAGTGGCAGACAGGGACTGGCTTGTTTTGGAGAGAGGGTCATCACACCTTCCCCATGGGAGCAGAGCCTAAAATGTATCTGACACCCAAAAGGGTGGAAGCTTTGTTGACATGCAGATGAGAGGATGACAGCAATGAAAAATGGCAGTATCACTTCAGTGATAAATATGAGCATGGCATTACTAGAAGGAAGCACATCTGAATGAACAGGCCTTATTCTAACATAGACAAACCTCAGTCTGATTCTAACCTCTATCTGGCTGGGGCCAATCCTACTTGATAAGATCCTCTTCTTCCTATTCTCTTCCCTTCATCATAAAATTCCAGCACCATAAGCAAGCTTCGTCTTCCTAAGGTGCAATCTCCAATGGTCATGACACATCCACCCTAGTGGAGACCACCATGGAAGGGAAAAAAAAATAAATAGGAGGTAATTACCTTTTTTTCCTCCTCTGGTGTAGGAAAGAAAGACTGAAACCTCTAGTTTCTATTAAGGTGGCTGCTGGAGCTGAAAGCCACTTTCCTCACCTTGAGTGAGAGGGCACGGCCATATATATTAACATGTCCAAGGTTGTGGAGGAGGAGGAGGAGGAAGAGAAGGCTTGGCTGATGATGTATGCTGCCAGCTGGCCAGGCAATGCTCCAAGGGGACATTCACAAACTCTTTGCTTTGGCACTGTCCCCCTCAGCTGACAGGTGTAAGCAGGGCCAGAGCCAGATGGCTAAATCCAAACAGCGCCAGGGGGATAAGTAAGTCCCACCACTAGTCAGATCCCTACTACTGCTCACTGTACTTATGTTGTGACCTGGAGGCTTCTTCTGGTGCAAACGAACAACCCTCGCTCCCTGCCAAACTGAACTGACAGAAACCAGCCAGGATTCTGAGGGGAGTCAAAGCATGCCTCAGCTCATACTAAAACAAGTACCTTTAGCTACTGGACCACTGGCTCATGGCTCTGTAGTCAACCACCAGGACTGAAGACTCACTTCCACCCACTGCAGTCATTGCATAGCTGTGCTACAGCCCACATTCAGGCAGGGACACCCAAAAGGG